AGACTTCCTGGTGCCTACCTCATCTATTAGCACTGCTGGGGGGAGGTGGGACCACTAAGTCTGCTATCGTTCGTTTATTAGTACTTAAGTTATTTTGTACCGGACCAGCGAACAGGAAGCTATGTTTCCTCTGCTGGATTACTTTTTGTATTGTATGTATTTACTCTGGTTAAATAAAATAAATAAATATGTACATACATATATACAGAAACAGACACACATACTTAAAATGCATTGTCATGCAAAATAATAGCATTCAACAGACAATAACACAAAACATTACTAAGGATAAGATGTTTGCATATGATAACCCACGGGTTCTTAGAATACATTTTAGCAACATTGCTAGTTAAAAAAGCAATATATTTTAGCTGATTTATAAAAATACTGGTTTTGACTGTACTGTTTTACATTTATTTTTTTATTGCTCCCTCATCATTGCAAAACAAACAAGAAAAACTTAAACTTAGCTGGTATTATTTCTCCAATTGTAAAGCAACCCACAACAAAAGCACCAACTACAWTAAGTTTAACTGAAATTCAGAATTTCAAATTCTACAGCGGTTTATTTGCTAACCGGTGCTGGAACACACAGGTGGAAATTCTCAATTAACTTTAATTTTTATCCGAACTAATTCAAATCTTAATAATTACCAGGTTGTTTTACTTCTATTTTACATTTACATAAATACAACCAAATATGTAATCTAAAAAATCAGAGAACAGTGAAATTCATTCACATTAAAAATTCAATTACTATTTTTAGTAAAATGCCACCCCAAAAATCTAACCTTAACGCCCGTAGCAAAGAGACTCGACGTGCACGTGTTAAAAGAGCTCATGAATCAGTCGAACAGAGAGCAGAAAGAAATACAGCTCAAAGAATTCGCACAGCTGAAATTCGTGCACGAGAATCACGAGAACAGCGTGATAATCGTCGACAAGAAAATGCATTGAGAGCCAGGGTGGCACGTCAACAACACATAGAATCATTTAGAGAACAAAACCGAGAAAATCATCGGACTAACCGCGCAGTAACACGTCGATCATTTGTTCGTCTTGTATTTAATTACGAACCAGACATCAATTACTGGGCTGATTCTAAAGTCACTATTGGTGCGATGGACAAAATGTGCAATTATTGTCAGGCGTTAAAATTTCACAATGAAACACCCGGCATGTGTTGCGCTTCAGGAAAAGTTGTATTGCCACCACTCCCTACTCCACCTGAACCTTTGAAATCCCTTCTTTCGGGCATTTCAAATGAATCAAAATTATTTTTGCGTAAGACACGAAAATTCAATTCGTGTTTCCAAATAACGTCGTTTGGAGCATCCCAAGTTTGTGATTTGTCATCTGATGGTCGTAATTTTGAAACAACATTCAAAATTCAAGGCCAGGTATACCATAAAATTGGATCATTGATGAAGATGCCAAATGAATATCCAAAATTTTCTTCAGATTTATTTTATGGGCAATTGCGAAGACCGTGTAAGAACTCGATGCCAGTATAATTTTATTGAACAAGCAGAAGAGAGAGCAATTATATTGTCGTTAGAATTATTTTTGGAGAGCAAAAATCAATTGGTTCAATTGTTTAAAAGAGTGTCACTACAATTAAAAAGTGACAATTATAAAATTGTCATTAAAGCGGACAAAGTGCCTGTGGGAGAACACGCCGGCAGATTCGATGCACCAACCGTTGACGAAGTTGCTATTATTATGGTCGGTGATCCAGTTGATAACAGATCCATAAAAATTACACGCCGAGATAATTCAGTAAGTAGAATTGCAGATTTACACAGTTCGTACGAAGCACTCCACTGATATTCTGGCAAGGACAAGATGGATATTATATCAACATTAAACAGTATGATCCAGTCAATGGTAATGAATTAAATAAAAGAGTTAGTATAAAAGATAGTATAAAAATTAGATAGTATAAAACTTAGTCGTATCGATTAATGATTAGACACAATCAAGACAACTATATCTTTCGACATCGTCAATTGTATCATCAATACGTTGTGGATATGTTTGCTAAAATTGAAAGCGAACATTTGCGATTAATTCGGTTTAACCAAGCTGAACTACGATCAGAGAATTACATTCACTTACGAGATGCTATTGTTGGAAACGTCGATGGCAATTTAAACACAAATGAAATCCACACTGCTATTATTTTATTCCAGCTACATAGGTAGCCCACGAAATATGTAAGAATATATACAGGATGCAAGGACTAATGTACGTCATTACGGTCGTCCAGATTTATTTATAACATTTACGTGTAATCCAATTTGGGAGGAAATCCAGGTGTTGTTGGTGATATTCAATTTAGTGGCAGAAACGAGGCATACCTCATGCTCACATTTTAATGTGACTTGAAGATAAAATTTGATCAAATTATTTCAGCCGAAATTCCAGATTCTTCAATTGATCAAGAATTATTTTATATTGTTACAAGTCATACGATTCATGCACTGTGTGGAACGTTTAACATGACATCACCATGCATGGAAAATGGTAAATGTAAGAAAAATTTTCCTAAGAAATCCACAAATGATGCCATTACTGATATTGATGGTTATCCATTGTTTCGTCGCAGAAACGCTGATAATGAACCGCTGATAAATAACCAATTAGAAAGTGACAATCAATGGGTAGTACCATATTCACCACTACTCTCCGAAACGTACAAGGCTCATATTAATGTTGATCTTTGCAGTTCTGTCAAATCCATCAAGTATATTTACAAGTACGTTCATAAGGGCACTGATTTGGCCGTATTTGGAGTACAAAATATAAATAGCAATGAAGCTATCTGGCGCATACTTAGCTTCCCCATACACCACAGAGAACCTGCTATCCAACATCTTGCAGTGCTTCTTGAAAATGGACAATGTGTGTATTTCACGGAAGAAAATATTCTCCAAAGAGCATGTGAACCACCAAAAATGACACTAACCGATTTTTTCACTTTTTGTCAAAACACTGATATGTATGGTCAATTCGCAAAAACACTATTATACACTGATATTCCATGGTATTTTACATGGGACACGTCAGCTAAACAATGGGATCCACCGAAAATGGGAGAACGACACCCTCCAATTGCAGGCATATTTAAAGCTAAGACACTGGGACGACTTTATACTGTACATCCAAAACAAAATGAACGCTTTTTTCTGCGTTTATTGTTGGTAAATGTTATGAAGAAATATTGGAAACACTCAGACTGACAAAAAACATGCGAGTACAACTCCAAAATGATCCAACAGCACAAGAATTTTCTAAACAATTACTGGATCTTGGAAACAGTGAAATAGAATTTAATCAAGATACTCAACATATTAGATTGCCAGATAATTTCTGTACTGTTGTTCAAACTAAAAATGAACTGAATTAGAGTGTCTTCCCAGATATACTAAATAACTATTTAAATCATGACTGGTTTAGTAATCGTGCAATTTTAGCAGCGAAAAATGTTGATGTTGATCTGATTAACTACCAGATACAACAATTATTACCAGGTGATTTAATTTAATATCACTTAAAGAAGTGAATTTCCCAATTGAATTTTTAAATTCTTTAGACATATCAGGAATGCCACCACACAATCTTCGATTGAAAATTTGATCACCGATTATTCTACTGCGTAATTTAAACCCTCCTAAACCCAACGGCACACGTTTGATGATCAAAAGAATTACTGGAAACGTTCTTGAAGCAACTATTTTGATAGGAAAGTTCAAAGGAGAAATTGTTTTGTTACCACGTGTTCCGATGACACCATACGATTCTCACATACCATTTAAAAGACTACAGATTCCCATTCGTTTAGCTTTCGCGATGACTATAAATAAATCTCACGGCCAAACAATGTCTATTTGCGGATTAGACTTGGAAAATCCATGTTTCTCCCATGGGCAATTATAAGTGGCGTGTTCACGAGTAGGAAGACCATCAAGTTTATTTGTATTAACAAAGGACCGATTGACCAAAAATATTGTACATCGATTGGCGCTTCATTGAATATCAACTGTGATTTATTATTATTAAAGACATTTAGAGTATATATATAAAATAAAAATATTCAAAGTATTTATTAAATATGTTATAAAAATGTTATGTTAATTTGTGTTAAATTCTGTCTTTCCAATCCTCCTTGAATCACTCAGCCACAGCAACGCGTGGCCGGGTCTGCTAGCATATATATAAATGAGTCGATTTAGTTTTGAAATTTTGCAGACGTCAATTTCTCTTCAAGAAGCTGCTCATTTGTTGGAACGGTTGATATCGGACTTCTATTACATATAGCTGCCATACAAACTGAACGATTGGAATCAAATGCTTGTATGGAAAACTTTCACATTTGACAAGATATATTCAAGAAATTTGGTATATATTATTTTCTAAGACAACAATGTAATCTATGAAGAAATTGGTCAGATCGGTTTGCTATAGCATATAGCTGCCATACAAACTGAACGATCGGAATCAAGTCCTTGTATTGACAACTTTCACATTTGACAATATATTTTCACGAAATTTGGTATAGATTATTTTCTAAGGCAACAATAGAATCTAGGAAGAAATTGTTCAGATCGGTTCACTATAGCATATAGCTGCCATACAAACTGAACGATCGGAATCAACTTTCACATTTGACAAGATATATTCACGAAATTTGGTTTATATAATTTTCTAAGGCAACAATGTAATCTCCCTCCAAAAAATTTGTTCAGAATGGATTACTAAAGCATATATCTTCCATACAAACTGAACAAATAGTTACTAACAGAAATACGCCTTTGAAGGGTATTTAGCTTCGGTGCAACCGACGTTAACGTTTTTTCTTATTTTTTAATTGTTCTTACTTAATTACTTTAACTTAAATGATGCGGCGGCATACCAAGCCTTTCCTAAGATTTTAGAAATTCCACTCGATAATTCACGGCTTCGTACTTTGGCAGTGAAAATTGCGCGTGCACTCAAGCAATCGTAGTTACGATAATTTGGCCAGTGGAGCGAATACGATATAAAATACTTTCGGTAATGTAATTTTTTTCGTATCCCATTATTGACGCGAATTTGAAGGCTGATATGTCGAAATGATCTTCGCGAAAAGTATGCGAACTTCAGTAACATGCGAAGTAGCTATCGCATTGTCCATCGTTTGTTTCCAGTGATTATCATTTTCCCGCAATTGCAATTGCTGGCATGCTTCTCAAAAAGTTGCACACATCGTACCATTCACAATACGCAATGACTTAAAAGAAGTTTAAACGCGATTTGAATATGAATTATACAACAGTGGCGAATATGGTACGATCCATGTGTTGTCAAATTCAACATTCTCGCCTTTAAATTGAATGCTAAGTGTTCTGCCATTGTCGTCTGGTGAGCGATGACGATAGAATGGATATCTATCATTTCCAGCTTGCGTTTCCGAAAAAAAGCACGTGGATAGTGTTTCGTGCATTTATTGTCAGACATACAATTCGAAGTGGGATTGTGTTGTCCGCAAAGTCCATGAACCATATGGGTTTTCACCAATTCGTATAACTCTGGATCTATCACTGGATCAGGAATTTCCACAGAAATGATTTTATCRATTTAAACTGGTGTAACCACCATTCCCAATAGAAGAAAAATGTGTGTGTGCGACAAACCTTCTTATTGCTACTCAACAGAATTCATCCTCCATCTAAAAGCGAAATATATACCATACATTGCTTCAAGATAAAGTCCATCAAACATCGCAGTTGTAGTTTGAAAAGTCATGCTGTGACATCGTGATGATCGCTTGCTGATAATCTGCGATCTATAATTCCACACGTACGTCATCGCATGGTGGTGGTAGTACTTCTTGCCTTGCCCTGCCTTGGGCTGCCACATGTTGATGGGCAAAAGAACGCCGACCGATATTAGGGTGACCTCTTCGTGGCTTCGTAACAAATTTCAATCTGCAATTGATCACTTTTTGTGAAAGACACATAGAGCTTTTTATAAATAATTTTCAATTTTTCTTTTGAATAGCCGGAATAAAAAAGCAAGCGACCGAAATTGAACGATTAAAATAATTTACAAATTAAAATATTGAAAAACAAAACAAACAAAAAT